CCTGACCATGTCTGAATCTTTGCCTTTGGTACCACCTTTGGAGAACAGGAGGAGGAATTATAGGAGAATGAGGTGGAGGAGGAGGAGGAATAGGAATATCGGAGGTAGGTCCAGTGGGAGAAGTAGACACCTCATGATAGGACTCAAGAGGAATGGGAAGAGGAATAGCTGGAGACATAGAAAAGGGCTCTTCAGATTTCTCCCCCTCAGGATAAATGCTACAGAAAGGAGTCAACTCAGCAAAGGTGACATCCCAAGATACAAAGCAGGTGCCACGAACTGGATCAAAACAGCAATATCCCTTCTGTGTGGAAGCATATCCCAGAAAAACACATTTATGAGCCTTAGGTTCAAACTTGTGTCTTTGATGACTGTGAATATGCACATAACAAGTGCACCCAAAAACACAGAGAGGAAGAGAAAAAATATCCTCATCTGGGAAGAGAAGGCTAAAGGGGGTTTTGAAGTCAAGGACCCGGGAGGGCATACGGTTGATAAAAAAAGTAGTAAGAACATCTCCTCAAAATTTTATAGGAACATGGGATGCAAACAAGAGGGATCTGGCAACTTCAACCACATGTCAGTTCTTCCTTTCCGCCACCCCGTTTTGTTATTGAGTGTAGGAACAAGAACTTTGATGAATAACTCCAAAAGTTTCAAGATAGGTGGAGAGGGTTCTCTCAAAATACTCCTTAGCATTATCAGAATGGAATATTTTGATACGATTGTTAAACTGGGTGATGATGAGTTCATGAAATTTTTGCACAATAGCTGGTACTTCATCCCTGGATTTCATGAGATAAATCCAAGTGTAACGAGAGTAGTCATCAATAAAAAGGATAAAGTACCTGTAACCCCCCATAGTTGGCAAATGATATGGCCCCTACACGTCAGAGTGAACAATATGAAAAGGAGATAGAGATCTTTTATTGCTTACTGAATAAGAATGTCTACAATGCTTTGCCAGTTCACACGACTCACAATGAAGACTCGATAAAGACACTCCCTTAAACATATCTAGAAACAAATGACTCAAAGCAGAAAATGACAAATGACCAAACCGAAAGTGACATAACAAGACTTTATTAACAGACTCTGACAAAACTGACTCTAAGGCGACTCCATGAGGTGGTTCCAAAGCTCGATTTGGTGTGTCCAGCAAGTATATTCCGTTCGCCTCATGGCCACTCCCAATCATCCTYTGAGATTGCAGGTCATGAAAAACACAATGAGTGGGAAAAAGGTTATGTTGCAATTCATGGATTTAGTTAAGCTGCTAACAGATAAAAGGTTTGTGTTAAGTTTAGGGACATGAAGGGCAGAGGATAAATAAAGGCTGTTAGAGGTCTTTATATCTTCTTTACTAGAGATGGGAGCAAGAGACTCATTAGTAAGGGATATTTTCTCTTTGCTAGAGAGAAGGTGGTATGAGCAGAAGAGATTAGATAGGCTGGTCGTATGGTCTGATGCACCGGAATCAATAATCCAAGGGATTTTATGATTACCTGAAATTGAAGCATGATTTGTAGAATCACGAATACTTGAGTGAGCAAATGCTGATGAAGATGATGTGTTGTTGCTGGAAGAGTGAGATGAAGAAACARTAGCTTYCAAGTGATTTAGTAGCCTCCCATACTTTTCAAAATCCACCTTCATTGCTGCCAACTGYTCAATGGTTGATTTCTCTTCACTCTCCTTATTTCCTCCTTCAGGTACTGTAGCAACATTAGCTGCCTTAGGCTTTCCTACCTGACTGCCCTTCTTAGAGCTGTTGTTATTCTTAAACCTAT